ATCCAGAGTTTTCCTTCCAGAATCACAAAAAATGGGTAATCAGAAGATGACTGAAATGGAATTCACATTGTTAATTATTAATGAATTAATTAATGGTGAATACAAAATGAATCACAAAGATTTTGGCCGATATTGCAGGCTTTGTTTTTCATATATTCTGTAATTAAAACTGTAATTTTAAAGTATTTTGTTCCCAGCTAATATGATAATACATGCATGATAATGAAATCCAAATGTACAGCATACAATGCTTGTAACAGTGTTCTGGGTATCATACAAAACTATAAATACATGAAGATTTCAGAGTTCTTGTTCAGCATTGTGCTATTTTCAGTTTAACACTGACTGAAAAATACTTATTTAGTAGACAGCTTTAGCATACCCAGGTTGTTTTATCCCATAGAAGCACAATATTTCCAATTACTATTCCATTAAGACTACAAAGATGATTCAACACAGCAGTTGTTATTGCTGTTAAAAGCCTTAATCATATTAATGTTGTCACACCAGTCTTAGCAAACCAGGACTTCAGTGTGCATTGACATTTAACACATCCCAAAATAAATGGCTATAGTGTTTGGGCAATGCTTTTCAAGCAATTACCTCATTTTTTTCTCCCCCAAATCTCCTGTTTGTAAAGAAGCAGCGAGGGAAATTAAATTAGATGTTAATATTCTCCCCAAATATTCTGGAACTTATATCAGTTCTTCCTTAGGAATTGCGAGCTTCTCTCAGCATTTGCTTTTAGTCCCAGAGAAGTCGTAAGTAAAGCCAAAACTTGTCATAGTTGGGGGTTTCTAAGATAGTTTCATTGTATGTAAATACTCCTAACTCTAGGTTTATTACCACCTGCCAGTCAAGGAATGCGAGAACTCCAGCATTTTTCAGGTTTGTAGGAAAGCACTGTCTGTCACGGGGATCTCCAGGTCAAACCCACCAGCACTGGAGACCTGAACAGCACCTTTGCCCTGCTTATCTTGGCCCTGTTTATCTTCTTCGTGCTCCCAGATAGACCCCATAAATTTAAATCTGGAGCCGAGATCAGGGGACCTGACACAGAAAGACTGGCCTTTCAAAATATTCTCACCGAGAACTAAGTTATAACGGTCTACTCCTCCAAAACGAGGCCAAAGCTGGTGAATCGTTTATTATCGTTTCCAAACCAGCAGGATTGTTTGCTGCAGGAAGGCTGAGGGGCTGTGGCCCTGGCCGGGCAGGCTGGGTGCCCTCACGGTGGGTCCTGTGGGCAGAGGCAGCCATGGCTCAAAGGCGCCGGCAGCGCGTGAGGGGCACAGGGCGGCCCCGGGACGGCCAGGGCTCGGTGTGGGAGCAAAACTCAACGGCAATTGGTGAGAAGGTTGCCCAGAGGCAAAAGTAACAGGTCAGTTTAAGATTTCTTTGCTTGCTCAGTCTCCAAGGTTTTAAAGCACGAGTTAGTTGGTTGCTTTTGAACGCTTTTGCCGTGGCTCATGAGGGCCCCCTGACCCCCTGTTCAAATGTTCGCTCTGGTCCTTTGTGTTCCCACCAGCGTGGCACCAGAGGTGTTTGGTGCCATCCTTTCCATCCATCCCCCTGTTCCAAGGCAGAACTCTCCCTGAATTGCAGATCCAGGGCTGTCCGGCACGGCTCCATCCCTGGCCCACGGCTGTGGGACGTGCCCGTGGTGTGAGGGGAAATGGCGGCTGCTCAGGGCTGGCCATGCGGCCACCGCGCAGTGCTAATAAATATAATAATTTATGTGCTCTGGAGCTGAACTAAGCAGAGGGGTTTTCTTTACCCAGTCATCTCTGCTCCTGCCCTTCTGCTCAGTGTGATGATATGCTCCTAAAACCATGCTGGTCCAGGATGCTGTACCGGTGATTTCCCTATCAAATTCCCACAGCCTGTGGGACGATATTCCCCCTGGAACAACAGCTGAAGGTGGAAGGCGGGCTAATTGATTCAGGACTCCCCCACTGCCTCTGAGCACAAGCACTTAGCTGTAATTATTGTGAAACAGAAGAATTTACACTGAGTTATAAATTGGTATCACAGGCCTCAGTAAATGGTGTATACTTCATGAAGTGTCAGCTATTCTGAGTACTGCCATGTATTTTTGCATTTTATTCTACAAAATAACTGTATGTCAGGGCACCGAGGAATCATGGCTTAATATTCATGTCTCCTTTTCTCACTTTGGAACCAGTTAGACCTCACACTAAAAGGTCTTCCCATTAGTGTAAGAGCACCCACTGCAAAAATGAGTGTAAATTTTTACACAAAACAACAGAACAGGTGTAAAGCACTAATCTCTGTATGATGTGCGCTGACAGAATGGCACTTCTCAAGGAAGATGGTTAACTAGGTGACCTCTGGTAGTCCCTCCCACCCTTACCCACTCTGTGATTCTGTGATTCTTACAAAAATTTCATGAATGTTTATGCAAACAAGTAAAAATTTGAGTAAGCTTTTAAACTACCCTTTTAACTACCCTTGAACTACTAAGCTTCTAAATGCCTAAATCTCTTATCAAGTCTCTGCTCTTCTTGTAGTGATTGCTGTGGCTTAACAAGAATTAATTTTCTTTACCTGCAGTGGTAATCAACTTCCAGTCATGTAGTCAAGTGTCAAACCCTACCCACATTATCCAGGTGATAGAACTAAATGCGTCCATCTGTCCGTTCTGGGGCACATGATGTATTTTAATTTAGGATCACCCATGTTTTAAGATGAATGAACTTTCAACCTCTCGTTTTTCTGCAGTTTTTTGGTGGTGGATACTGATCAGGGCTGAATGTTATCAACCTTGTCCTTTTCCCAAGCTGTTTGTGGACTTCTGGGAGAGATCAAATGAGATCTTGTTCTTCTAACTCTGTGTTCTACTTTATCAGAGACATTTCTGGGTTGACAGGAGACTGTTTGGGTGGGATTCAGTTGCCTAATATGACACTAAGTGCCTGCTCTTAGATACCCAACTGCTGCTCTGCCTCTCACTGCCACTTTCAACCCATCTGATTCTATGATTCTATGTAAATTCTCATTAAATGTGAATGTCCTAGATTTTCTAGAGAATCTCAAATGGCACAAAGCGTTTACACCTAAACAACTGAATCCTAACTTAAAAGTGTGAGAGAAAAACATTATTTATATGTATTCTTTTAGTTATTTGCTGCTTATGAAACCTCAATAATTTTAACCCTCTTCTTAGTATTAACAGATTTAATTGCTCTAAAATTCGTTGCTCCTTGATTTTATTTCTGAATATTTACAATAAGTGAAATAAACTTGGGGTTGTCTTCATTACTTCCTATAACAAAATTACTTATTGTAAGACTGATAGGAAGCTTGAGTTACTTGCAATTTAACAGCATTGAAATACAGGAAAATGTCAATTCTGAAGCTCAAGCTCTTTGGGTTTCCTGAAGGTCTGTACATATGGCATGTGACTCACAGTGGCTTTATGGTTGGTATAATTTATGTTTTGAAACAGTGATGCTGTTTTATTTGGGAAGCCTTCATATGTTCATTATTTAGCCTTTGTGTTTTAAGATGCTGTTTAATACCAAACATCTTGGAGTTGATGGAACAATTTTCCATTTTAAAGTTGGATTTCTGTGTGTTGCATTCTGTACTATCTATGCATGATCACTTCTGCAAATATTTTAAAAGGAAAGTCATGGAATTTGGGAACACTTTTACAAGAATGCCAGAGGCTTTTTTGGAGTAGCCAGAGGGAAAACTTTCATGCCTTATCTTTAGCCACCAGATATAAAAGTACTTCATCTAGAACACTAACTAAATGAATTCTTTTTCTACAGACTTCAGCAGGTCTAATTAACAAACTTAAAGGAAAAGTGTATTGAGGAGAAACAATAGAACTCTGGCTTGAAAACAAAAGTAAAAAAATTGAAAGCTCTCTTAGGCTACTTTAAGTTCAGCAAATACATGTGTGGTTTGAGGGTAAATTTTCCCCACTCTTACTAGTTAAAAAAAAAAAAAAGAAATCCCAACTGTTGAGGGCCACTTATTTTTCTCATGGTGTAAAAAGATCAAGATGCTTTTTGTCTCTTAGACGAACAACTATGAAATACCCCCAAGATGATGAGATCAAACTTGCCATTGCCTAAATTTCTGGATGGGTGCTTTACAAGACACACTTGCAGAAATACACAGGTTATTCTGACTGTCAATTTAAATGAACCTTGACTCTCTGCTTTTAACTAACATGTAGAGCTCTCATTTCAGCTCCATCCTCGCTGCTCATTCACTGAACACTGACATGAGCCAGTTAAATGATGTCTCCAGATCACTGTACCTAAAGCTGGAACAGTGGATCAAATGCTAAACACTCTTTGTGCATTTAGGCAATGAGAAGAATTCACAGTTAATTATATTGAAAGCATAAAATGTGTTAATCTTCCAGTGAGAGCAATGCAGAAAGGGGCCCTGTCTGTACTCCTGGTTTTTGCTTGTGTCAATATATTGACAGGTGTTGGGAGATGTGACAGAAGCTCTGGCTGATGTAGCTGCCCTGACACGAGGCAGCTGCAAATTCTGCTTCCCCTTTTGCCCTTGTTTGCCATGACTTTTGTCAAGTGGTGGTTTAGAATACTGGTGTAACTGGGACAAGAGCTTTGCTGGTACAGCTTCACCTCTACTGGTCTGCCTTTGATTTGTGCACACAGCTGTCAAATGCCTCCATGGTAGAGTCATTTGGAATGCATCATGAATATCCCATAGGTGTCATTTACTGTTGAAATATCAAATTTTTCTTCTCCTCACCGAAGTGCTGGGATTCTCCATTTTCACAGTATGCAGAAAACAACCTTATTCTGGTTAAAGCCATGTATTTTATGACTTGGTTAAAAAGCAAAGACTTTTAACTGCTTTTTATGAAATCTGTTCCAGTGAAACCACTGTTAACTGCAGAGATTTGATTGTTCTTTCTTTAAACAGCCAACTTTTTTTGTCAGCCCAAGAACAAGTCATTTGATTAATGATCATTTTTATCTCTTTGAAAGGATCCTTTCCGACCATTGGGGTGAAGTCTCTTTCGAGATTCCTGAGGGCGGGATTTTTAAATAGCATCCTGGCCTCACATCCAGTGGCAGGGGGTGGATCTTTGCCCCCCAGCATTTCCTCTGGTAGGTATTCCAGCCTATTCCCCCACATCAACTTTCTTCTTTCACCTTCTGCCCCATCACTCCACACATCTGAAGGAAATGAAATTTGGTATTGGTCAAGCAGGGAGATTAAATGTCCCTTCCAAAAAAAAGCCAAACCTAAAGGAAATGGAAAACATTATTACTTTTTGGGAACTAGCCATTTTCCTGAATCAATGTGAAGGAGAAATCGTGAGGGGAAACTAATGTGTAGTGAAGTGGCCAACCTAAATATTGGAAGAGCATCCTGGTACCCTCTAATCATACATTTCATGAAGCATGTCCATATGCACCAAAGAAAGATAACTTTAAAAATGCCACTGTAAAATCTTAGCATTTATGTGAGTCTGTGACTCTTCCCTAAAAATTTGCATTCCCTTGCTAAAACATGGAAGCAAAACAAATTTGGAAAGGGATAGCTTAGTTATGTGTTAATACAGTGTTTGAACCCTCTGTAGGCTTTTGTAGCTGCAGCTGCTATCTCAAACCACCTTGTGATGGCACGAGGGAGATCAGATGGTTGGCATAAGGTTGAGTGTAGGTCAGGGGTGACGACCACATTCCAGGAAAACAGGCTGCTGTCAGACACCAGCCTGAAACAGGATAGAAGGACAGATTAGAGGCATCCATCCCAATAAAGAGTGTGTTATCCATTCTCTTCTGGAACCATTAAACACCATCTCCCATCAAAAGTAACAAATGGAGAATAAATACATGTATCTTAATTATAGTCATAACTGGATCAGAGTTCAGTTCTGTTCCTTTCCAAACTATATATTTCTATGTAAAATGAATCTGTTAATGGGCTAAATGTCACACTTGTATCTTTTCAGGACACTTCACCTGTAAAGTTACTTAAAGTTTTTCTTAAAGAAGAAAAATCTCTTATGGTAAAAGCAGGGAGAAGATTGAAAACTGCATCATGTTATTGGCTTGCAATACAAAAGAAACAATTCTACTTCTCTATTGCAATAATTTTAGGCCTCACTAATACAAGATGACTATTTTCTTTTTTTCCAGTTGCTGTTTTACTGTGTTAACTTTCTTTGAATAGAAGCTTCTCAGCAGCTTTGATGTCTTTTCTAATGACTGTTTAGGTTTCTTTCGCTGACAGTTTTCAAAACTCTTTCCATATTTGTTTCTCCGTGGGATATCTGTGAGTGTTTAATGGCCCTTAGGTATTTACAGGTGTCTGTGACCATGCATCAGTGTCCAAGAGGAAATACTGGATGCCCCATAAAATTCTCTGGTTTGAGTGTAGTGTTGTGCAGAGCATCCCACTGATTCTATTAAATCACAAATGGCCCAACTGCACTCATGAACTGGCTTCTCAACTACGTGCCCACCTACAAGTTCATTTTGTAAGGCCCTCAGGACTGTTGTTTTCTGAGTGCTTGCAAAGCTTTTTGTCACGTTTTTTGGACTTAAAACTCTTAAATGTGGTTTGTTTAGTAAAAGTCATTTATAATGCCTTGCTGTTCAATGTCTTTCCCTAATAATTTTGATTCAGCCTGATGAAACATTGAAAACGGGAAAAAATGGAAATGCAACTACATAATTTGTAACCTGTATCTAGCAAGTTAATGGAGATAAATGTTATTGTTTAATCATAACAACAACAATAACAAAACCAAACCACAAAGCAAACAAAACCAAAACCAAAACAAAACAAACAAACAAAAATAACAAAAAAAATTGAGCCAAGCAACAACTCTAGAGAAAGGGAGAGACTCCCACTTTCTGGAATGTGAGGATTGTCACGTAGTTGAAGGCCAGTAAAGAACTGTGATAAATCCACTGGATAAGATGTGTTCCTGTGCGTGGTGGGGGCTCAGGTGGTGTCAAAGTCTGCAGTGCAAGTCAGAAATTGCTCTTGCAGCTCATGGTTGAAGTGGTGTGGGAAGGGTTTGTTGTGTAAATGCCTGCCCATGTTGCCTGGCAGAAGTTACAGAGACAAAACTTCACCGTGTGTTGCTGTCTTTGAAGAGCCAGACAGGTTGTTAAGCTTGCTGAGTTGGAAGGAAAGGAAGGGGCAGCAAATACCTCTCCTACTGTTCCTTTCAATCTAAACTTCTTTCCTGAGTTTGCTGTGTTGGTTTTGGTTTTTTTATTGATAAGAACCAGAGATGAGTGTCAGGCTCAGAGTTAAAAACTATGGGAAAGTTCCTGTTAAGCAAACCTCCCAGGTCCCTTCATCCTGTTCAGCATTCAAACTTCATTGGCAGGCGGGGGGGAAACCATCAAAATTATTCTTGCCATATTCAGGACCATCTCTGATCTCCCCATGGTCAGCAGCTGGACCCTTGTTCCCTGTTTCATTCACAGAGCACCTCAGAATCTGCTGTGAAAGTATCCTGAAGTATGAGCAGCAGTTATTTCCTGCCACTTATTTTGCATGGTTAATTATCCAGCTTATTTTACATTTTAGGAAGAATGGAAGCAAAAAAAAATTAGGTTTGATAAAACAATCCACCCCTGTGAACCTCAAAAAAATATATTACATGCAAGAAATGAGGGTGCACTTACTTTCCAGAAACTTAGAAGTGATACAGAACAGTTCACTCACTCCTGTCTTGGACTAGATAGTAACAAAACTTCTCATAAAGTACATTTTACAGAGGATATTCCTTTTTCAGTACTTTACTGCCTGATTAGTTGTGGCTTCTTGTATAACATAGATTGTAATATTCACATTTATTCCAGGGAGTTCCTCAAAAAACTCAGAGATAACTGTAGAGTACTAAACCAGATGATTATGAGTTTTGTCCAAAATTAATGTTTTATTACAATTTCCAAGTGCACCTGAGTGAGCCCATTATTCTTGATATTGTATAAACTGACATTTGAAAGCAAATTGTATTGACAGACCCTTATTGAATGAAATTACTCAACAAGAACCATCAAGGAGCAATTGTACATGGTGAAATTCAACTATAATTATGATTCTCCAATAATGAGAAAAGGAACTTTTTTTTTCCCAGCTAATGTATTCTTTCCCTTACTCTGAATTCCAGCACATACACTGCTGTATTTGTTGTTAAATGAAAATTGCTAATCCTTTCTCAGTGGCTAACAAATTGATTGCTCTATTGCATATGCATTTTGCAGGGTCTCTGAGCCAAATGGCTCTTTCAGTTCATTCTTTCCATCCTCCCTGCTATTTCAGTGGCATGTGCAGCCTGTGAACCCTGCAGTAATGCATAATGGCATGTATTTGCTGGGAATAGAAGTTCAGATGTGCATGGACTTTCCCACTAGGCAGACAAGGAGTACTTCAGGACCAAAGTAAGGATGAGCAGTAAATAGAAACAGTTTTTGTGCTGGTCAGTTAGGGTTTGGCTTGTACTGTAGAACTCTAGTGCAGGACGTGATAAAAGGAGGTTTTTCATTCTCCACCCTTGCTAAATAGGTCATTTGATGCTCAGATGGTCATCCCAACAATTCCAAATGTTTAAGTCCAAGAAGTTTAGAAACAATTATTTGCCTGTGTGGACATTTTGACATGATATATACTCCTATTGCATGTTTTTAAAAATCCAGCTACAGAAAATGTGGAAATTAGTTGTAACAAGCACGTGAATTGAAGCAGGTTGCTGTTTATTGCTAGCAGGACCAGAAAGGTATGAAGAGGAGAGTAGGAGGAGCATGATGGATACACACAGAAATATATTTGTGAATAAACTACACTCAGTTATTCTTTGGTTCAAAATGAAAGGAAAAATAATATGAACTCTCTTTTTAGTCCAGAGGTAAAGCATTGGATGTAGAAACAGAACCAGCATTGGTTTAATCTTTGTGAAGTGGGAGACAGGAGTTAGGGGAGTTAAGCTATGGAAGAGGAATGCTTTTGTTTTCATTCATCATGTGTCAATGAGTTTCCAGATTGTTCTTATTTCTTCAAAATGTGTATGCTTGTCTAAAAACCTTTCCAGCTCAGGTTTGCTGCTTGACCCATCCTCATTGTAACTCTTGACTGTTGTTGATGGTCAAAATCAGAGTTTGAAGGGAGAAGCTTGAGAATGTGTGCCTTCACGTCTCATAAAGGAAGAGTGGTGGGTCATCAGTTTTGTACAGCTCAGAAGCAGCTCAGAAGTTTAATCCTCACGTAGACTAAAGGGAAATAGGACAAGGCATGTGTGCTGAAATATTAAGTGGAAAAAATACTCAAAGGATATCCTGAAATGCAACACATGTCAGAATCTTATGAAGTTCATAAGCAGGCATAGTATCAAATAAACAAAAAACTGACACCTTAGAATAGGATTAAAATAATACTGTAACTGTGTCATTATGAAAGCACAAAAACATTGTAACCTTACGTATCCTTTTTTTAAATTCTGCTCATTTTCAAATTTATATTGTAGCTTAGAACTTCTAAATATAACACAGTTATGTTAATATGAAAATTCACAATAGAGATTAAGTAAGATCTGTTTCATGTATTCCCTAACTATCTGTTATGTATCATGGCATACTAAATATTGGTGAAGTGCAGAAGCTCCCAGTACACAGCCTTCACATTGTTTGAATCCCTTTACATGCTTTGGGGTCAACAGGGCAAGTGATCCTTGATGCAGTTACACCCTGTGGGCTGATTTTGACCCAAAGAACATCCCTTTCTCTTTCCACAAGAGGATGTAGATTGGTATGAACACTGAGTAACTGAAGGGTGAAATGTCATTAGATTAAGTGAAATATGCTGAAATTCAATAATAAAAAAAAAGTGAGGTTGATCCAACTGGGCAAAAGTAGCTGTCTTAGGCTGCACCTGAAAAGAATTTATTATTTATTTTGAATTTCTTGCTTATTCTCTGCTTCAGTGCTAAAGTGCCGGAATTTTGGGGGTTCTAATTCAAATTTCAGGCAATATAAAGCTTATGCCAGAATCAGTGCTGTTAATGAGTCAGGTATTTTCTTCCCCCAGAGCATAATTAATTTAAAACTGAGTGGCCAAAGTGTTTTGTGGCTGGTCATAAACAAACTGCCTATTGTTGTAAAGAAACCAATTCACCTTCTCCCTCCTGCTTGTTCAGTGACAAATACTGCCTTCAGTGCTGTGATTTCCTCATTTAAAATGGGATGATATAACCAGGGATCTGAGATGGGGTGGTCAAAATGCAGTGCCTGAGGGCTGTTCACTCTTCTGCCTTGGCATTTTGTCATCTCTCGAGCCCTCTTCCAAGTCCCTACAGGGTATCTATAAGGTGTGGAGATGACAGGCTGGTTCCAGGGTACCAGGAGCAATATTTTGAAGCAAACATCAGCTGTTGTAACTGTCTGTGGAAGTTGCTGGGTAGCTGTCCCAATTCAGTTTATATTTTGAGGCAGATCAGTTTGTTCCGAGGGCCCAGGCTGGCACGGTGCCCTCTGAGGAGCAGAGGAGCTGGAAGACAATGCCAAGCCCTCCCTGTGCCCCCTGTTTGCAGATTTGGTGGTTCCCACAGCTTTGGCTTGCAGACTGAGGACTCGTGTTCTGTGATACCTCGGCCAGGTCACTTCATCTTCTCTTTTCACCACACATAGCATGGTCCATTGGCTTCATGTGTGTTGGTGTGGACTGACAATGCAAAACCCAGCAGAATTTATTGTCAGTTGCTTTTTGCATAGACTTTAGTTTTCTTTCGCTCCTTTTTCCTCCATCAGTTTTGTATTTTGGGATTTTTCTGTTATTCACTGAATTTAATTCTCCTCTGATGGGTATAAAAGCATTAGTGTTGGTAGCAGGAGAGAAGAAGCTGCAGTGCCAGGGCAAGAGGTTCTCTTATTCGAGGTGATCTGCAGTGAACAAACCCAGTGGGAGATGCAGGAGTGTCTGGCCAGCCCTGGGCACTGCAGTGGGGGACAGGGATTCCCTGGGGTGCTCTGTGTGCTCTCCAGGTGCTGACAGGCCCAGTTGTGGGGGTGTCCCTGTGTTTGGGGCTGGGTAGTTAGTGGGGAACCAGGAGCAGAACAGGACTTTGGAATGAAAAGATGTCTGATAAGGAGGTGATTTTTCTGAGACGCATGAATTGTGATCTGCAGAAATGATGGAGCACTATTTTCTTATAGGAGCTAGAGAACAGTTATTTGCTGGTTTGAGTGGGAGAATAAATATCCTGTGTTTATGTTAACAGATCTACTCCCATAACTGGCATTAAAGATTTCATTGTAAGAGTGTAGAGAAGAAACATGTGCTAACTATTCTTTTTGGAGGATTAATCTTACATAAAAAATTCATTAAAGGAGGCTTTGCTGCATTATTTAAAATGACAACAGGAGACAACAAGCTGAATGTTTTGTCATTGATATGACACTTCAAATTCTCCTCCTTATTCATCAGTCTAGCACTCAATTAAATTACATGCTTTCAAAATTTTTTGTTGTGAGAAAAAAATACGTAAATAAAAATGTGATGTGAGTTTTAGGTATTATCAGTATTTTTACATTATTCTGCAATGTATGGCTTTCTCTTTTTTTTCTTTTTTGCATTTCTGCTTATTAAAAAATGTCAAGCAGACTGATGAATGGAAAATACGAGATAGAGCCCTGTTCTGAGGTGGCATGATATCAATAGAGATTGATTGTCATTTACACCGGTTTCATTCCAATGGCATTGCTGGGCAGGAGGATTCCAGTGAAGAACTTTCCTTGGGAAAATTGTCCAAATCAGTCAGCCTCTTGTCACAGGGTGGTAGTTGCATCAAAACAATGAGTAACCCCTGCCCCTTCTGCAGACTCAGCTAAGTTGTGAGCAGGTAAATTGATGTCTTTTCCTGCGTCATGCCAGGCACTGCTGTTGCTCTGGTGTGCTCAGCCTGGCTCTGGGAGATAGCAGGACACAAAGGGATCTGCCACAGCCACAGTCACGCCCTGTGCAAGGAGGGGGAGCTGCTTTCGACAATGTCACACATGTCTGGGGGGGATAGTTAGAGTTTCACAAAAAATATGAGAACAGTGAAGGTGGCTGTGGTATCAGTGTGATATAACAGCATTATAATTCCATATTGTTAAGTCTGTAGTAAAATGATAAATCTGTTACACTAACGTGCTGCAAATTGTAAATGTGATATACATAGTCTATAAAACCCAAATTTGGAATTAAGACCTATTGCCTCAGAACACTTTCTAACTCCTCTGCTTTATGGGTGGGTTTTCTCACAATACTCCCTGTCAGGTATCTAAAGCTGCTGCAAGACTGGTTTGTTTGACTAACTGGATTGTTGAATCCACCTTCAGATATTTTTTATTTTGTCTTCCCCCCAGTTCAAACAAGAAGTTCTTTGCCCTCCTCCAGTACCACCTGCAGTTTTTAGCTCCTTGATTCCAAGTCCTCAGCTGACACTTTCCTCAGTGTCCTTTTTCCACGCCTTCTCTTGTGTGGATCTTGGCACTGATGTTCTGAGCCCTGAGTGCTTTCCCGACTCCCACCTGCACCCCACTGCTGTTTGTTCTTGAACCTGTTTATTGGTCTTTGTTTTGTGTGGGTAAGCAATCCTAGGAGAATAATTCACTGCCTTCCAGCATTGCATTAGCCTACCCCTGGCTAAAATAATCAAAGATTGCTTCTCTGTCTCAGAGCCTTCTCTGACCTCCTCTCATTTATTCATTCCTGTTCTCATTTTGAGGATGAAGAATTCATCGTTCTTAGTACCCTGAGCCTGATGCTACAGGATCTTACCATATGCAGAAGTCTCTCAAGCAAGTAGTGGTTTCTACATTGTTGCAGACAGTGGCATTATTCAATAAATAGGGAGGTAAAGCTGGCTTTCAGATGGCATATTTGGCCAGGCATAAGTTAGCCAGAAATTTCTCTTTCTGGATAAATCAACAACTAGAACACCTGCATGGAAAACCCTGGGTTTACTTCTCTAAATTATAGGATGTTCCTTTCACATGGAGGTGGCAGCCCCTTGCCAATGAGAAAACGGTAAAGGTAAGGGAATCTTTGAAAGGAATTCATGTGCTTGAAACTAAAGTGAATGGGCTAACCAGCTAGTCATCACTGGCAAGCTGAAGTAAAGAAAACATAAATTTTTTAAATGCTGTGATCTCCGAGATGTATCATTTAATGCAAAACCAGGGCATTTCCAATGGATGCAGATGAATATAATTGATTTGGTGGCAGATGCTCATCTGCAGCTGAGACTAAACATTCAGTTAGAATAAAAAGAAGCTGGTAATCCTTCACACTTCTGCAAGGCTGTCCAAAGAGACTACTAAGGCATCTGAAAAATTTCACACAGGAAAAAATATGTACTACTGTGCCAGCACTGTGAAGCACTGTTTTATTCATTGAGGACCTTTACAGGAGGGCTAATACAGAAATAATCACAAATTTTAGTAGAGGAAGTGAGCAAATGTTGTGAAGAACTACGGAAAGACTAGACTAAACTGTGTGAGTGAGCATCACTGGGGTACCTGGCACTCCAAGTCAGCCTACTGGGATGAACACAGAAATGAACCATTCTCTTTTTTAAATTGAAAGTTAGCTGTAGCACCTCAGGAGAAATATCTGGCTGTGGCTTACTGTATATATTGTGGAGAGTTTTATAAACACTTTCACAATTAACCAAACTGAACAGAAATGGACAATTGGGCTGGAACAATCAAAACACCCTGAACACTGTGCTTGTTTCTCATCCCCTCATCCAAATCAAACACAAACATCATTTGAGAGGCAGAGAAAAAAACAACAGTGATGGAAGAGTCGTCTTTTGGATTTGAAAAATCTTGGCCCAGCTAGTGTTGAGTGGAGGAAGTGAAAGGCAGACTCACAGGGTCAGCCCTGCTTTTCCACAAGTCTCAAAAGAGACAGGCATTATCAGGGAAAGAAAAAATTGCCATTTTAAGACTTTTAACTTTAAGACTTTCTACATCCTTCCCATCCTAACATACTTCTTCATGACATTAGTTTTATTTTTATTAAAATAGCTCCTTTTTAATATTAATAACTCTAAAAAACTTGTTGCTCTGCAGCCTCCTTTGCAGGGTAATTTGCCCTCTACTGTCAAGCAGTTCTAGAGTGGTAGTTTATTCAAGGGCAACAGTGAAATGCTATTTAGTGCAGTACCCAGTTTAGAAGTGTATTTTCAGATTTTGATACCCTTTTAGGAAATAAATGTAAGGTGTTATTCTGCTTCAGTTTGGATATGGTGCCACCCTGGAACCAGAGGTCTGAGCAAAAGGAAATACAGCTGAGATTTTTTGTGAGAATGTAAAAGAATTAATAGCTGCACTTAAAAATAAGAGTGAAAATAAGTTGTTGGATACAAATAAGTTGAAGGATATGAATCTGGGGAGCATTAAAGCTGTAATGAGATCCTCTGGACCTCTAGAGAACCTTATGGAAGAGCTTGTGGAAAGCCTGGAGTGCCAAAGGATTACCCACGGGAAAACAGGGGCACTGTTTTGAAGCTCAATTTTTGAAGCTCCATTTGTTATCCCCTTCAAATGTACATTTTCATTCATAAATGTTCACAGGAAAACTGGGCTAGTTGAGCAAGACCTTGATTTGAGTAACATTCTGTATATTTTATGTATTTACAAACAGATGAATTCAGAGTTTTGCTGTGTTGTGCACACCCAGTCTAGGAGAGCTTTTTTGGTGACATAATTCTTAGAAGTAAGGGAATTGTGTTATTGTGTTTGTGGTATAAATGAGGATTTTGAAAGTATGTAACATATTTAACTACTGTGAATAATCTCTGCATAACAGACAAAATTATAAAAGCTCCATGATATGTTCATAATCTGAATGTGTTTCTCTGCTGTTTTGCAGGCAGGCCAGTAATGATTGTAGTTGAGTACATGGAGAATGGATCCCTTGACTCCTTCCTGCGGGTGAGCTGCCATTTTCTGATGACATTTGAATAAGACACCATTCGAGGTTAAGATTTAAATCATTTATCACAAATTAATTTCTACATAATGTTATTCATGGATTTTTAGTGAAGAATAGAAGCTTTCTCCCCAGGGTACATTTCTGAGGTACAGTGATATATTAGAGCATGGCTGGGAAAGAAGAAGATTTAAACTTAGGAATATAATTGATTTCTTCTGCAAAAGTAGTCCCTGTCTTTAGCAAAATGTATTTCAAATGGTGTTTTTGTGAAAGAAAAGATAAATTGAAGGATAAATGCCTGGCCTTATGGAGGTGGCTCATTTTTCTCAATCACCTTCAAAAACACTCTTACGATTTTTTTGGTTGGTGAAGTGTAGAATATACTCAGTAATTGATTTATAATTATTCATGGTTAACAAATTGAATTAGAAAACAGTTCATGGGTGAAATGTCCTGGCATTAATTAACCCCCAAAGGTCACTAATAAACATTAAAGGAGAAAATACGAGTGATATGTTGGCACAATTATATCTAATTTTTCCTAGAAAAATAGAAGGAAAGGATGACCCTCCATTTAAACTAAACTTATCCTAAAGTAGTCTCTTTTTTTAACAAAACCCCTGGAAATCCTCCAGAGCCCCACTGTCATAACCCCCTGTGGGAATAATTTTAAAGTGAAGTATTTCCAATTTGTCACCATAAGTCACCCTGAGCCCTCAGTTACCCATGGCCCTGCCACTGCCATCTTGCAGAAGGCTGAATTTGGGGTGGGGGCAAGCTCAGGGCAGGGGATCAGGGGCCCCTGGCTCAGGGAACTTGTTTGAAAGCCTCTTCCAAAGGAGAGACCTTCAGCAAGGAGCTGTGGAAATCCCTGCATGGAAATCTCAGTGGTGCTAATTGAAGGATGATTTGGGAGCAGAAAGAAGGAACCGGTAAGAGAAAAGGGTGAATAAGCAGGAGGAAAAAACAACCAGCATTTTAGGAGGAAGATGCATCAGAGAGAGGGAGAGAAAGCCATACAGACAGTATTTGTTTGACAGCTGGTTGAGAAAAGGGGGAGCATCAAGAAGAGCACCTAGAACAGAGGAGACTGTCCTGAAAGTGCCTCAGAGCCATTATCTCAGATATTTCTAGGCACTACTTCTCCCTTCCTTTTGGTTATTGCATGGTGTTTTTCCTCTTACATTTCTTGTCCTTTTCACTGGCCCCCCCAAACAGTTTCTTATTTTCCATGATCAGGACACACCACAGATATCTGTTATGATGTCAGAAACGTGCCAGCACCACAGTTTCTGTGAGAATTTGCTGATGTCTCAAAATCAAGTTATTTTTATGGAGTGTTTGACCTCAGCCATGTCTTACAAGATGGGTAGTTTTTAAAAATCAGCCGCCTTTCCTTTCTGGCTCCTCTCTCTATCCATCTGCAGCAGATAGACTGCCACTGATTTGAGTCCCTGCAGCTTCCATGGTCTCTAATTTTTCAGCAGTGCCCCAGGAAGATTTGCCTGGGCCTGAAATATTGCCCTGTGTGTGTGTGCAGAATTCCTCCAAGTGAATCAAACCAAGTACTGAAATAATTCATGAAGGAGAATTACCTTTCTCTGAACTGCTCTGGTAGGATATCTATATCCCAGTTTTTCTTCACATGCATCCATTTATCAGAACAGTTACCACTTATTAGGATACTTTAATAGAAACTGGCATCAGCAAAATGGTGATGTTACTGTGAAACAATATTTCTCACATTGCACGGGGTATATTTGGAAGCAAATCTGCTGGGGGGAAATGGGAGCTAATAATTTCTGCAGCTGTTCTCCATGTATATTATTTTACAGTTTCAATTCACACTTCAGATACGGGTTATTCCTCTAAAATGCTTTTAAAATGTACTTTAGATAATATTCAGCATCCCAGAGCACTGTAGATATGTCAGCATTTCTGTTAGTAATTAGTGGGGCAAATGGCTGCAAAGTAACCTATTTAAAAAGAAATCCAGCTGCTTCATTAATAATAGTTGTGTCCTGCAGATATAAGCCCACACTTTTAAAAGCTTTTGTGAAGATCCAAAGAAACAGAAAGGCTTTATCTTTAGCAATCCCAATGAAAGGCATTGGGTGAATACACCAAGTGTTGTGAGATTTGGAAGGGCTTATAAGATAGTCTATCTTTCTTATTATTTAAAGGGTCCCTTGTTACCCTGCAGTGTTTTTACACAGAGGGAGGAAACAATCTGTTTCTCACCACAAGAAATATTCCCCCATGTGCCACAACCTGCAAAAATTCACTGGCACATCTCTCTGTCTTCCTCCAAAAGCCTGCGAAAATGGATCAGTCTCACAAATTCCAAGTGAGATGCTGTGATGAACCGTGTGAGGATATTCCAGAGCTCCATTTGCCAGCCCCCTCCTCACAGCCTGGGTGGGATATTTGCTTTGCTGACAGTACAGGTTGCACCATGAATCGTAAGCTCCAAGGAAAGCCTCCCTCCCCATCTTCAGCCATAACTGCTAAAATCTTAATGACTTTTAATTCCCTGTTTTACACATAGCACTGCCTGCTTTCTGCTATTAGTATGAACTTTACCAGCAAGCTCAGCTAAATTATGTCTTCCCCACCCCACAAAATATCTGTATACTGGCTGCTAACTTTCAGCTTTTGGATAAAAAAAATTGGCATGGATTTGCAATATGAAGATGCTTAAGATATATATTCTTAGTGGAGAGCCATCAGCTAATTAGAACCAAGATGATGGCAATTAATTACAGTGATTGTGCATCATCAGACATCCTAAATTGCTGAAGACACTTGACTCTGAATTTTCCTCAGAAATACTGCATTATTTTTACAATTATATATAACTCACTTCCAAAAAAATGAAACTCACTTATCTTTTTTTTTTTTTTCTGAAAATATAAGATCGAGGCATGTAAGTTAATCATCCCACAAAAGTACACCTGAAATTTGCTATCAGTAACATGGTGCTTTGACCAGAAATAAAGCTCATGTGGGTTTATTTCTGGTAACACTCAGAGAGATTTCTCTGAAAAAGGATGTGGGCTTCCAGCTTACTATTTCCTCAGGGGCTGGAAGCTCACTCCTCTCTCAATATTACTCCAACAGCTGCCAGATGGAAGTAATCTGTGCTTGGAAAGAAAGTGGCTAATACTTGGAAATTGAGGAGAGCCAGGTACAATTTCTTGTTACCAGTTTCCCACACAGACTCTGGATGGGACACATCTTTACATTTTATTCACCTGCCCGTGTCGTGGAGATTTGAGCAAGCACTTATTCTGCAATCACTTGAGGAAAACAACACAGACAAGAAGGGTTGAAGGGGCAGCTATCTGTATTGATAGAAAGATGTGGTTAGTGATTAGGACAGTAGATATGTTTGCTCAGGTTTGTTGATACAGAATACAGAATATGTAACAAGAAAGACAACTAAGAGAGATGCATAATAACAAAAAATTGGAAATTAAAAACAAACAAACAAAAGGCACAAAACCTTTGTAGTGAGCATTTTGGCAGTTTGCCACTGCTGTTTTGTTGGAGCTGTTTGTCCTCTGAGCATGGCCATGGGCAGGTAAATCACCTGGGTTTTGAAGCACTGCTTGCTGATCTTGCAGCCTTCATACAGGACACAAATGTAGTTCCCATTTTGTGGAGGGGAAATGGTGTTGAGTACCATGTGGGACTCAAACCTCTGCAGCACTTCAGAGGGTGACCCAGTAACAGAACCCAGGTCCAAATCCCGTTTTCACTCCCTCTCTCTTTGTGCTGGACACCACAACATTTTCCTCAGCCTTGCCTGTCAGATGATTGCAATAGTTCCTACAAAAGTCCTTTCCCCGAGGTTGTTCTGTTCCCCCTGACATATCGTCCCCCACTTATCCCATTCTCTAAGTCTGTGCCTACAGATTGACAGAGTTTGCTCTATTGAGAGTTAAATATCATCTGCTCTTTTCACAGCTCCATTCAAAGGGCCGTTCTTGGTTAAAATAATTGGATTTAGCCACTCACAGACAAGAACAGGGTGATTGGGAGGCCAGGTGGCTTGTGTGCCTGAGGGGCTGCTGCTTGTGGGGTCCAGTTGCTCAGAATGATACCTGGAGAGCTCTGTGTTGCCTCTGGTCTGCACTCCCCCTCATCTGCATCATGCAGTGTGGGCACAGATTTAAACCACAGAAAAGGAGCACATCTAGAAGCTGCCTTTTGGGGATGTTTGTGGTTGGCTACAGAGCATCCTGTAAAATGGACCCAAAAAAACTCTCACCAGAGTACTAAACTTCTTTCAGTATTTTTCTGCAGCTGCAGACTACCAGAAATTGTCAGTGCTTTGTTCCTGCTCAGCGTCCAGGCTGTGCTAACAGTAGTGAGGTGAGAACCAGGGCCACAGTGACATTAATCAGATGAGAACCTGTGGTATTGCAGCAGGTTCTGTGGCAGCCTGACCCTAAAATAATCCATCAGGCCCATCCACTGCACTATATTTGCTCATCTTCTTTGTAAGGAAGGGAATTCACTCTCCAGGGATCATTGTGGAAGAGAAAACTCCTCAGGTTTTGCAGCATTTTCACTGGATAGATGGATGTTTAGGTTTGAAAGATACTCCATTCTTGCCCAGTTTTGAAAATCTCAGAGCTGCAGGGGGGATACATTTACCTGGTGTAACCTCAGGGTTGTCCTGCATTCTTCACTGATATTATTTGCCATCATAATGCTCCTTTTCCCACCTGAAAACTCGTGACTGATATATATCCATTCACCTCAGAGAATTAAAATACTTGTTAAAAAAAAGATTTATTTACAGGCATGCACAGTAGGTGAAAATCATGTATTTTGTTCTTTCAAAGAGTTTATAAGAAACATGCTTAATTTCCCTAGAGCACTAACTGCAGCAGACTGTACAGCAAATGAAAGCCTGGAATCCAGCCCAGCGTTTGAATTGCTCGAGGCAGGTCTAGCAGAGGCTAAGAGAAGTGTTACTGGATGGGGAAAATATGCTGAGATATTGCTCTTTCTTGCAGCAGTCGTTCTGGAGTTGTTCTCAGAGCGGTTTTGAGATCAGGCTCACCCTTTTCTCAGCTGCACTTGAGCTGCTCCAGCAGACACCTCCATCGAGCCAGGCTGGGGAAAGGAAGAACAGAGAAAAATGAAGACTTTTAGCGAGTCCCACAAAGCGATGTTGTAAAGTCCGTGTTGTACATCCATCTAAGATGGCCTCACCACACAGAGTCAGCTTTGGGGAAAGAACCCCCATGGCCTTTGCTAACTTTAATGGTTCCTGTTGTTATTTATCTGTGTTCAGAGAGGCTACAGCGTTAGAGCTCATAACTAATACTCCTCCTTTTGCCTCCACACGCAACACTCGTCTGCACTTTGATTTATTGGAGGCACGCTCCTTCCTGGCAGGAAAATGGGGGCGTTTGGCTTTCAAAAATGACTCTGTAAAGAAGAAAACCTGCACTGGAGACTGCTGATACCGTTTATTTTTCCTGAACCAAAATGGCATTCAGCAATTAGAAAGTAAATTTGAAATAATGCATTACCTTAGCAGTGAAATTGTGATCTAAGATGTATCTAAGCCCTGAGAAGCTGTTGCTGATGCTACAGGGCCAATATTTGTTCTCAAGCAATGTTTTACCCTGCTAAAGGGAGGTACAAAACAGTATTTCTGCTACTGCTCTGAGAATTTCATTTCTAAATACCTATTTTAAATATGTAGATATTCTTACTTAGACATTAAATATTGTAGATATTCTTACTGCCCAGCAACAAGAAGTTTATTACAAACTGTCTTGTATTTGGAAGCCAAAATAATTTTATGGGTAACGTGAACTCTTTCAGTGTGCTCTTTATCTTTGTGAATTTGCCAAGAATACGTGAGAAAGCGAGGATCAGAACAGAGCCAGTGTCATTAATGTCTTTTAAAAGAAGGGAAAAGAGAAGCCAAGAAATTACAGGCCAGTCAGCTTAATGTCAACTGCTGAAAGATTTTTGGAACAAATTATCAGAAAAGTATTTATAAGCACCTTAGAGATAACAGGGAGATAAGTGTGAGCCAACATGGATTTGTCAGGAACTAATTCTGTCAAACAGTCTGGTTTCCTTTTGGAACAGGCTTTGTGAGGATGGGAGGAACAGCTGCTCTTGTAAACCTTGACTTACATAAGGTTTTCAAAAGCCAATTGTAGCTGTATGAAACAAGCAAACAAACAAACAAAATTTTTCAGGACATTTGCACCGCTGCATAAATGCAGTGGCAACTACTCAGACTTTGCATCTATACTCAGCTATTGAGAAGAGTTTATTTAGTAAAGCCATTAAAGCCTGATTAAAATTTAATGGAATGATAGGATAAGTGTGGTGAGTCCACTGAGGTCTGAATGGCTGCCAGTATTGATTAACACCCTTAACAGCCCAGTGGGAATCCTATCAAAAACATACTTCAGATCTAAGCTCTGGGAATCACAATAAAGCCCTGGGTAAAAACCACCCTATCATTCAGATGAGTGTTTTATGTCCCTAAATAACAAGCAAATGAAACAAGGTAATGGAAAGTTGCCAAAGGTTTGTACCTGGGGATTTACACACGCTGAAGATACGAGGCCAGATTCATACCTGCAATCATTTCATCAAACTAGTTGAATTTTCCAAGGGTTAAGTATGGCCATAGTCTGTATCCAGATCAAATATTTGGGTATATTGAAGGGTAACACTTGATGGATTGTGTGGGGACACAGCTGGCTTGGAAACAGATGGAGGAGTGATTAAAAAGAGACTTGAGAGAGAAGGCTGGTTTGCTGGCAGCAAAAATGTAGTTGTTCCAACGGCAAGGCTGGCAGTGAAACAATATAAAACCAAGAGTGAGGAAAACAGATGCAGCAGAGGATTTGGGGAAATACACAGAGGGAGAAGGAGGACAGAATAAAATTGCAAGTGGTATGTTAGCAGGGTTGTCATTTCTTAAGGCTGAAGAGAAGAAGTCTGAACTTTTTTTATCAAGTCAGAAGCCAAAAGAAATTTGAAAGGAGGGAGAGAATGGCAAAAGCATGAGACTGTTTAAAACTCAGGCATTACTGCTGTACTGGTAAGTCAAATACTGAGATTTAGAAAGAGCAGAAAATGGTTATGTTTTATGGAAAATCAATCAAGCATAGTCGAGGTTTGAAAGAACAGAAATTAAAAAAAGGAAAGAATGAATGCTTGTGATGTGAGAGAACAAAAGGTTAAGGGGAGTGTTGTGGATGACTCTGGGGTTTGTTTTTTTTAAATCACTGAACATTCAGAACTATTAAATGAAAAGCAAAACCCAGATCCTGTGTGGCTTCATTACATAAAGCACTGGATAAAGCCTATGTCCTTCCTTTATTGGAAGAGGCTTGAAGTATTTAAGAATATTATCTTAATTATTTAATTTTATTTAAAATATTTGTCACTGGTATGTTTTGGGCTCTGAAATAACCCTTATTCTTGTGGCAGGGTCCTGTGATAGGGAATGTCATAGGCTCATAAAAGGGGATGGCCTTTGTAAAATGTCTGGTTATCACATTTGTGTCTTGGGGCTGGGAGGTCTTCTAGCTGGCAAGGTGAGTTTGTATTTTCCTTTTACCATTTTCTTTCTGGATTTTTTAAATTTATTCTTTAAATGTTTATATCCTGACTAGCTGGATAGAGGCCCAAAACCACTGGATCATTATGGAAATGCTGAAATACTTTGCTGACCAGGGATGAAGTTAAGCATGTCTATACAGTTCAGCCTGTTGCTTTGGTGAATCTAATTAACTTACTGTACTTACTGTTCATCTTGCTTAAATGTATGAGCTAAGCAACAGAAATGTCCTGAATGCTGATCAGAACATTGCTACTTCTGTGTTGCCCAATGCTACCGGTGCTGGAGGAGAAAATGAAAAGTTAACTTGCTTGCAGGAGAGAGCTGTTTGTTTTTGTTTGGCTGTTCCTACTAACATAAAAGCCTGGCTCACTGAATAATCCATGAGAAGCTAAATGTCTGCCAGCTGAGGTCACAGAAATAATCCTGTAAGCAGTCTGCAGTAAATGGTAGACAGGGCAGACCTAAAAAAGGCAAAGAGCCCATAATGACATTTCTTTACATGTACTCCCTTGGTCCCCACTGCCACATAATTCATGAGCTGTCTGATGCAGGGCAGAAAGAAGTGTTAACTTCAGTGCTGCAGGTGGGGAAACTGAGGCCCAGAAAGACTGAGCAGCTGGACAAGTGTGGTTAATGACACAACTCCTATTTACATCTTCAACAGCAATTGGAGTTAAGCAGCTTTATTCATTCATGGGGCTGAGTTTAAGGGCTTTCTTCCAGGAAGACTTTGGAACAGCTTTGGAATAACCCCTGAATTTCAGCCCAAATCTCCTTTTTAATCTAGTGCTCAGAGACTGTATGGTGTTAGGTGCAGAAAAAACAAGAGATAAAGCTGCAGACTTTTTCCAGGTCTCTTTGGGATGTTTTTTTAACCAAACAAACCCTCCCAAAAAAAAAGCAAAAAAAGTGAGGTAGCAACACTTCCTCAATGCAGACAATCAAGGCTGAGACAATAAAAAGAGGTTTCTTTGTTTCCTGAGGCCAGGGAGTAAAAGATGAAGAGAGGATTTTTGTGCGATTTCTCATTCTTGTACTAAAAAACAGTGTTTGGGGAAGGAGTTCTTAGTAACCCATTGTCAAAGGTGTTCAGTGTTGTCAGGTGAAGACTGTGGAACGTGTGAAGATGTGGAAGGAACTGGGGATAAAGTGCCCAATGGGAGATGAGATGGCATGCACTGCACACCAAGTCCAACACTTGGCAAAGCAAGCCCGTTGGCCGGCCGGGTTACAAATGTGTTTTGAGGTAGAGCTGCAGTTGGTATCACCAGAGTGAAACCAGTGTGTTCTCTCAGCTTGCACCTTTTCTTGCAGAAGCACGACGGCCACTTCACAGTCATCCAGCTGGTGGGAATGCTGAGGGGCATTGCCTCTGGCATGAAGTACCTGTCGGACATGGGCTATGTGCACCGGGACCTGGCAGCACGGAACATCCTGGTCAACAGCAACCTCATGTGCAAGGTCTCCGATTTCGGTCTGTCTCGAGTGCTGGAGGACGATCCTGAAGCTGCTTACACGACAACTGTGAGTTTGTCTTGTCTCCTTGGAACAGCTGATGTGCCCCTTTTATTGCAGTTTTGGGTTTGTTTGTGCCACAGAACTGGTAGTTTGAGTTGGCTTGGTTTCTGTTCCCAGTCACGTGATTCAACAAACACACTGGCAGTGCTGAGGGAGATTTGTTTTGATTTTTGGCTAAGGGAAGTAGAGTAAAGTTTGGCAAAGATTTATTTTAAGCAAATGTGCAAGTATAAGAGGGGGACCTTTTTCCTCCTTCTTGGGTTTGGTTTTGTTGGCTGTGGAGGGATTTTTTCCCCCACGTTGTTACATCTTCTGTTAGTTTGTGTTCGTTTACAAAGAGGTGTTTGTAAAACAGAGGGATGGAGGAGGAGAGAATCTCACCAGTTTCGCTCCTGGAAGCTTGGTGCTAAGCCTTGTGTTCATAAATGAAAATTTTCATTTTATTTCACTTCAGCTTACCTTCTAGCAAGACCTTTCTTGGATGGTTTAACTCTCAGTTCATTAATACTTAAATTCCTTATGTGATGCAATTAAATCATTACAATGGAAAATGGGGACAGTTTTTTCTCTGTGTGTCCACTGAAGTAAAAAATTCTGGAACATGAAGAAGCTTGTTCAGCTTTGACTTAGATAAAAAATTCGAAATTGTACCTGCACTATGAAGAAAGTAGGGAAAGGAGTGTGTTGGTGTTTGCCAATAAAATGACAAGCTCTGATACAGCATTTTTTTGCCATACCAAAATGTTCCATTACATTCCTGTTACAGTTATTATCACAACATTAAGAATTTTGGCTAATTGTAAGCTGATTGCAAGTTACTTTCATATCTATCACTGAAATTAAACTATTACAGGGAGTACTCTGAAATAGTACTCTCATTAGTACTCCCAAAATGCACAGAATTTGTATGTTCCCATGGTAGGGCACAAGGACAGAATTCTAATAAGAGATGATAAATGAGTATTAAACAGTGTATTTTGTCCTTTTTTTCTATTTCACTTTAAAAAGTGATGTATGGCCAGAATAAGGAACTCATCTCATTTAACTGTATTGGAGTCAGTACTCTGGTGTATCTACTGAAACCAGCATAGGTATTGTAAGGGGATTATAGATCTTACATATTTATATATGCACAATACATATTTATTTTTAGTTTAGGCCTAAAATAGGGGTGTTCTGATAATTTTACTGTAAATTCCACTTCTTAGAACAAGTTCTATACAGAACTGCAAGCTGAGTAGTTTTCACTCACAGGTCTCTTTGCAAGGTTTTCTATCACTATCCATATGCAAGCTGGGAAAAAAAAAGCTCCTGTTTTTTACTTTACAGCAGAGATTTCCTTCATTTATTTTTACAAAACCTCTTTTGCTTCACACTGCTTCTTAGTATGAGGCTTGAAAGGAAAAATAAACATGACTGCAGCTTAACAAGTTATCAGCTGTTGGCTGAGCCTTGCTAATCGTCCGTGTGAGTGTGCTCAGCTGGCAGCAAGTGCCCGCAGTGACAGGCACGTGAAGCTACAGTGATCACGGGCTAATCAGCCCAGCTGGGGGAAGGCCCTAGAAGGGGCCAAGCAGTCCCTCTCCCAGTTAAGTTCAGAAAAAATACCACATGACAATGGCAGGCTTTCAGCTACTGTTTATCCTGTAATTTTCTGCTGGATGCCAATACAGAACAATTAATTTTTCAGATTAGTTAGAGCCTGCCTTGTTCATCATAGCTGGAGCTGCTTTTAATCAGGAAATGCTATGTTGGGGGGGAAAAAAGAAAAAGGAATATTTCATGGCAGTGTATCTGTGTGGAAGGACTTCCTTGAAACATAGGACAGGCTTTGAAGTGCTCACCCTGTGTCAGACATTTAAGGTGAATCTGTTTCAACTGTGAATTCTCCAAAGATAAACAAGCTTTGAAACCAAGGTGTGAAAATGCTCTGTGTCGTTACGATATGGATAAAATTCTTTGTGAATACGAAGAATTCAAAGCAACAGAGTCAGGTGTGACAGAAATGAACAGCATTTTAAATCACTCATTCCTTCAGCTCCAGCTTCCCCTGTCCTCACAGGTGTTTCAGTCCCTGTGGCTGAGCCTGCCCAGTTCTGTTCTGCACCTCTGGCCCTGGGGCACTGTCCTGCCCTCCCTCCTGAGGGCAGGCTGACTGCTGCATTCCCTGGTCCACTTGCACTCGTTCTGGATGGACTGGGGACAGTCAGGTTTTCTGGGGGATGCTCTTGCCTGCCGTCTGCTCCATCCCCTGCTTGAGCAAGTCCAGGAGATGTTCTCTGTGGGAATGCTCAGGAGGAAGACAAACAGTGCTGTCAATCTTTCAAAGAACACAGCACAGCTGTGACCAGAGTGGGGTGGGGACAGAAACATCTGTCCCAGTGGCTGTGGAGGACTCAGTGAAGGCTTTCCCCCTCTGAGCAGCCTCTCACAGTAACAGGATGGAACTGAACCCCACACTGGCTGTCACATCCTCTTGCAGCTCTCACTGCCCGTAGTTGTGTCACTGACCTTTTCCTTGTCATCAACACTTCCCCAGCAGCAGGCTGTGTGTGTTACTAGAGGGTTTTATGGCATCTCTTTAGTTCCATACTGTGCTTCTGCCATGTGAAGGTTAAACCCTCTGTGTTCTCTCAAAGATTCTGGTGCTTTTAGCGTTCGTGTTTCCTCTCCACAGAGATTTTTATTGGTAACAGCCACTACCTGTAGCTACAAGAAATCCACAGAGTGGGTCTGCATATTGAATAGATGTATTTTTAGACTCACATCTCCCAGTACAGCACTGTCAGTGCTCAGAGGAAACTCTGATTGTTTTTTATTCCCATTTCTTTGTCCTGGTGTCAGAAACAGAATGGTACAACTGGATGTTTTCTTTGGAAATAAACTACAAGACAATCTAAGCCAAAAAAGAGAATTTTGTATCTGTGATGCAGAGGTAAATATTTTGTGAATGCATTTGCAGACATAAAAATGTAAACAGTTGCAAAAGGCAAACTGTGGCAAAACAGGAAAGGCCCTTGTACCTTGTGAATTTACCATACCTGAGCAGGCACTGCCTCGAGGTCAGAGATTTCAGCTGACTTCCAGGAAGGCTCTTTCTTTTTGTCTTCCAGTCTGCTGAGGCAAAGGATGTAGACATGTTTTGGTAAGGGTATTGATTTCTGTTTGCTATTAGGAATCACAAAATTTACAGGAATTAAGGGATAGGAACATCTGACTGCAAATCTTCGTGTTTCAGGTTGATTAGGAAAATATAAGGTAAACTTTGGAGCAACTGAATAGTTTGTGGGATATTTTCCTATGGAGACACAACTTTCCTTTTTAGTACTGGTTTCCACAGGGACAGTTACTCATAAGAAGATGTTTCTAGTATGTAAACAAGCATTTCTCAATACAGAGGATATCTAGGCTCTTGGCTGCCTGCATTTAGACAAACTATGTTATATGTTGTAGATTCATCTCGTTTAAAACACAGTCAGGGTTTGCATGTATTTCAAAAAGAACCACGTGCCTCCAGAGAAACAGCAGAATGAGCTACTTAGAGATCTAAAGTGTCAGTGCTGTTAAATATATCTTTTTATCTAAGAGATAACTGATGGATCTGTTTGTGACATTTCATACTGACAGTGATTGCACTGATTACTTTTCAGTACAGTGTTGTCTGGGAACAGTAAAGCAGATTTTGGTGCAGTGGTTGTCAGCTGTTCTCCAGGCATGGATTCCTGAAGCTTATCCAGTGGAAAGGCAAACTTTGTTAGAAGTTTCCCATTTGTGGGGTTTTGTACAGCACCTTGCACTGTGCTATCTTCCACACATCTCCTCAGGCTCTCAGGGGTTGAACTCATGGTAGCAAGAAAAGACCCAGAGACTGGGGTTGTGAGAGATATCCCAACACTCAGGAAGGATCTGTCCAATGGTATGCGCAGTCAGAGCTAAAATCAGCCACTGCTGCAGAGCATTAACAGGAAAACACAGACCCTACCTCAGAGATGTGAAAGTAACGTAGAAATTCACATCAGTGACTCTCTTACCCAGACTGCAAATTTGGCTCAAATGATGAGTGGAAAAATCACTGTGTTGAGTAATGACTGGTCTAGGTCAGGAGTGTGCACTCCCGTTTCATGGAGTACTAAAATAAGGGCACGTTCCTTTAGGTTAAGTGATGGAAAATTCAAAACTATTTCAAAGATTGCAAATAGTTTTGTAGCACAGTGTAATTAAGCACAAGACTGCTCGCTACAAAAACCCACTGGGACCAAGATTTCCACAAGCTGGTGTTTGTTTGGTTTAAAAAGGGCTGAATATTACTAGGGAGAAATAATATCCAAGTACTGCAGTCAATAACAGTTTTAAAGAGAGATGAAATCTCATATTTCAGCCTGGAGAAGGAAAGAGGGAGGACAGGGAGAAAAGAAATGGGAAATCAGTAACAAAGTGTGGATTATTTTTAAGGTTTCACGCCTTCCTCTGAAACATCTGGTAGGGTTCCTGCTGCAGGTTACAGAGTTTGGATTGTGCTGGAAGCAGTGTTGATAGCACAGGGATGTTTTCCTTTCTGCTGAGCAGCACTTGCACAGCACCAAGGAATTTTCTGCCTTTGACCCCAAGCCACGAGTGAGGAGTCTGAGGAGGGGCACAAGAAGCTGGGAGGGGACACAGCCAGGACAGCTGACCCTGGCACAAATTAGCCATGGGAACCTCTACCCTCAAAATATTTCCTGTGTTCTTCAGCTAGATCTTGAATATTAGGATGCTGATCTGAAAAACTGTTTTAATTTAACTAGTTTGTGTTTTGTTACCTCGCTTCAGAGTACAGGGATCCGATTCTCCTTTTCAAATAAAATTAATCTCTAGTTTACTTTCTAAAGCAAAAAAAGAGGTTATTTTTCAGTTTTACATTATTCTACAGTGTTGAGTTTCTGATTTTGCTTTGTAGCTGTCACACTCAATTAGGGAATAACTACCTGGATTTTATTTTTAATTCATATATGAAGAAACATTAAATA